ATATATAAACGTTTTATTTTCTTAATTAACTGTTCTCTAATCGTGTTTGGAATTTTTATTTCCAAAAATGAATGTGTAAATGCTGTTTCAGGAATATAGTTTTGTTAAAAAAAAATACTTGTTTGTTTATTTATTTATTTATTTATTTTTATGGGCTGAAAGTAGTCGAATATATTATATTATTTGCAATGTTTTTTTCTAAAATATACTGCAATTATTACTGGAATTATTATAGCCAACATGGGGAGAGAGAGGGGAATTAAATGCAACAGATGTCTCAATTGTAATTGGTTTGGAGATGTATTTTCTCTGCGTTTCTTAGAGCAAACATTTTTTTGTCATTTCTGGATCGGAGTGTAAATTACTGATGCTCTGAATCGTATTAATAATGATGAAAACATTACATTTGTATCCATTTTTGATATGCAGTGTCCCGTTACAAATTAAAAATTGTCAGTGACATTGCAAAACCAACTCGAGCCTTTCACAACGATGAGAAAAAGTTGAGAAATGTATCTCTAAAGGTTAATCTTTTTGCTTTTGTGGGCATATTTAGTATTAATTTAATAAATGATCTGTTTCAACTGTAACAAACATTTATTTTAATATTGTTTTGTGACTTATGATGCAGTATTTCACATTTAAATAATACCCCTCTTTATTCCTTGCAGGCTCTGATGCTGGAGAATCTTCAGAAGTCGTCCTCCTCTCACAGTGGGCTGCAGCCCAACTCGCAGGTAAGAATAGATTTTAATATTTCATTTTAATATGTGGGCATTTTAAGCTCTGTAAAAAACATTATTGTATTGATGTATTTTATTGGCTTGAGATCCAACCCATAGAATATTCCCTACAAAGAACAGTTCATAATAAATACTTGTTGAATGTCAAATGTGCCGTTTCATTTTAATTTTTTAATTAATTTTACTTGCAATACTTGCACACTTACATGCACACAGTCACTGCTCTTCTGGCTCTGTGGATTTTCCAGCGCAGATGTTTTTAATAAAGTGCCGTTCTGTGTACGTTACTGTGTTGTAGATAGGTGAGGAGATGAGCCAGAATAGCTTCATAAAACAGTACCTGGCCAAGCAGCAGGAGCTCCTTCGCCAGAGACTGGAGAGAGAGGCCCAACAAGAGGAGGAGGCAGAAGGTAATACATAAACACACACAATCACAAATCAGACAATAAACACCGTCTCTGCCGCATGAGCGATGGTCCTTTAGCTTAAAGAACCAGTGGATGTGTGCCATTAATCCTCACATTGTTGCTGACCTTTACCTCCTGCCTTGTGTCTCTCCCTGGCAGAAAGCCCAGCCGTGGTGGAGGAGGATGAAGACCACTCGGAGGACAATGACTGCTCTTCCTATGTCTCTGACAAGGTCTGTAACCTCCACACTCTGAATAGTCAAATGAGGAAAACTAAGGAGTTATCCCTTAAAGCAGGACACACTAAGATGCTTCACATCGATTAGATGTATCTTATTTTTCATTCCCTACAATATTCTACATGTGGTGCTTTTTACGTGATACAAAATCTTTCCAACGCTTGTGTGTTTGAATTGTTTTCCTATGGTTCTTGTAAATGTCTAAAACGCGTGAATGAATGTATAAAACAAATGTAGGCATCTCGCCTTCTCTCAGAATGACTCCATTATTTTTGCCCAGAAGCATCACACCGTACCCCCCAAGCCCTCAATGACCAGGGCAGAGGAGAAAGGAGGAGGAGATTCAGTGATGGGTCACGGGATGATGGCGGTGGCATGCGGCCCTGACGTTGGCCCCGGTCCTATCCTCCACCCACAGGAGTCCATCGAGGCTCCAGGAGTAAGGATGCAGCGAGCCACCTTTCATCAAGGACATAAGGAGCCACCAGCACCATCTCCCCCCCGTGCCGTAGCCTCGCTGTCAGTGCGCGTCCTGGGCCAGCCAGACCGCCAGGGGCTGCCCCCCGCCGTACCCCGAGCCCAGGAGAAGGAGGGCACCGCGCCGAGCGAGCCCGGATCAGCTCATCCCGTGCTCCACCTCAGCCGATCTGCCGGGGTCTCAGCAGGAAGTCAGGTCCACGAGGACAGTGATGACGATGACGACGAGAGCGAGGATGACGAGGATTGGGGGCCCGGTCCTGGCGGGGCACGAAGAGGCAATCGAGTACCTCCTCAGCCGCAGCAGATGCCTCCAAGTCTCCCATCAACAGCTGCGAGGTCCAAACGCAAGCTTCAGCCTCCGCAGCACATCCCACCTCCACAGGTACACCACACACCAATGCAACTGCGCCACCCCACTCCTCCTCCCTCTCCACCTCCTGACTTGTTTGCCCTACCTGACACTCCCAAACAGAGCCCACCAGATACAGACGACCAGGAGGGAGAAGGCCCCGAGGCTTCGTGCGGTCCGAGGGTGCCGCCCTTCCCACCTTCCACCATGCAGAGGGAAGACTCTGACTCAAGCTCTCGTTCCAGCAGTCCTGAGCCCCCTATAAAGCGCAGGCCAGGGCCCCTTTCTCTGCTGGTACACAAGATGGAGTCAGAGGGGGCTTTCCGTGCGGCAGAGGCCACCTCTGCTGTGGACATGTCTGGAGAGGCCGCACACTCCACCGCTGGGCTTGCCAGTTCCAGTGAATCTCCACTGAAAAGGTTGGAGAGAAAGAGGCTCCAAGAGAACAGAGACGTGGAGGAAGAAAGGCGACTGAAGGAGGAGAAAGAGAGGGAACAACACCAGAAGCAAGAGAGAGAAAGAAAGAAGATCCAAGAACAGGAGAGAGAGAAGAAACGCTTGGAAGAAGAGAAGGAGAAGGAGAGGAAACGGCTGGAAGAGGAGGAGGAGAAACATCATCAGAAAGAGGAGCGAGAAAAAGAGAGGAAATGCCAGCAGGAGGAAAAAGAGAGACAACTCCAGCAGGAGGAAAAAGAGAGAAAACACCAGCAGGAGGAAAAAGAGAGAAAACACCAGCAGGAGGAAAAAGAGAGAAAACACCAGCAGGAGGAAAAAGAGAGAAAACACCAGGATGAGGAGAAGAGACGGGAGGAGAAACTGCTAAAGGAGAAGGACAAGAGACAGGAGACAGCCAACAAAGGATGGGTGGCTGTGACTGAGGCCCAAGACTCCGGTTCCTCATCAGATTCTGACTCCAAATCAGACTCCTCTTCACAATCCTCCTCTTCCTCCTCCGGGGATAAAATCCTCCCTGTCAGGAAGCTCAAGGTCAGTGATCACACAGGATGTCTGTCATCCACTACAGCATTGATAGAGACGTTGGACCTGTTGTGTGTACTGCTATTTCTTTTTTACTATTTAAAAAAAAATTATTTCACAGAAGCCAGAGCACGACGCAGAGGATGAGAAAAACACGAACCTGAAAGGAGCAGAGAAACGACACCTTTCAAAGAGGTCAGTAACCATCATTAAAATACAGTTTACCTCATTAACTAGTGGAATTAAGTCTTCAACACCATCTCAGTGACGCATGCATTTCTTCAGTGGCTCCCTGTAATATCTATAAACAATGATGTGTGTGGTTTTATTTCAATAAATTGAGCTATTCTCTCTGTTCTTTCTGGGTATCTCAACTTGCTAGCAGTGACTTAGAGAAGCTTATACATTAAATGCGGTGATAAATTCACATGAGGAGCACTTCAACCTATGTAGTCAACGTGGACTAAATCACTGGATTGTTTGGATATCCGGGATGATGAGAACATTTTCTAGCTATGCGATGATGCTTACATTAACTTTGGCCCTCGGAGGAAAAAGCAAAAGCTATTTGTATAATAGATGAAGTAAGCTAAGCTGAAGTAGCACATGGTTTTTGTTTTATGACTAGATGGTGGTTAATCACATTTATGCAGTATTTAGTACTAATACAGAAAGAGCCATGTCTGCACTGAACTATTTTATTTACTAGTAATTTACCATTGTATATAGTTTGCCAGCATATAAAGGCATAAACAATGCTGTTCTAATTTAAAACATCGGTCACAGATCTCTCTTAAACATGAGTCGGTTGTGTTGCAGTTTGTGTATTTCTTGTCAGGCGTTCACTGCGGCAGCCCCACACGCAGCGTGGCTGCTGCTTGTCTCTTGAGAAAAGAGGGTCCTTTTTTTTCTCGCCTTCCCTCGTTGCATTGTCCCGGTTGTCTTTTTCATGTAATTTCCATTGGTGGCTGGCAGTAGAGCTCGTGTTTCCATGCAGCGCAGTCCCTTGCTTAGTTCATATTTTTTAGTTTAATCATATTTCGGAATGCGACACGTTTGAGCGTCGTAGCTTTTATTTTGGAAATCTTTGACCGGAAGATATTTCTTTCCCTCTCTCTGGCAGACTTGACACTGGTCTCGCTAGCCAACATGGCCGACATGCATGCATTGCATCCCTGATACCGACGCAGTGCACAGCTAATCAGCAGTAGAAACAAACCGCGACTGGATTTTTTATTTTATTTCGCGTCTCCGATTTCCAACCGACGCCTAACCGGATTAATCGTTGAGCGGCAGAGTGTCACATTTTATCCCCGGGGGTTCCCTCTCAAGGCCGGTTATAATGCTGTCCGAAGGCAACAAAAACGGGTAAGAGCGAGCTAGAGGGCGACTCAAGGCTTTTAGTTAGCTGGTTGTACTGTAACATCCGAAATCAACGTGTAGACATCAGGCGGTCGTGTACATTGCGATGCTGATGAGCTAACATCTCCTTCATGCCTGTTAAATATCATGTCATCAGTCCACATTGGCCTGGTTGTGAGCGTGTTCGCCCATGTGAGGAAGGACCGGGGGTGGGACCGTGGGTGAGGATCTTTTGTTGAGTGAAGGAGCAAGATTTTTCTTTTTTTTTTTTAGGGGGGGAAGGGGGTCTCCCTTCTATGATGTGTGCCTAAAATAGCTTCACATTGGAGGAGCACATTGATTAATAAATAATGGGCTCAGATTTCATGGTGTGCTGAGGAGAGTCATGCGGACTGTGATTTCTCCCCTACTCTGTTATTCTGCTTGACCTCAACATCTCTGTCATGCCAAGTAGATGAGATTAAAGAGCAAATGCATTTTATTATTTAATGATGACATCGTCATTTTGTTGTCCCATTAAAGCTGATTTATGGCCAAGCTGTACATGCATCTTGTTGTCTACGCCACAGATTACATTTTTTGTTTTGGGGTTTGTGTGGCTGTAGCTGTTAATGATCTCACTGTTATCGAGGGAGATCATTAAAGCAGACATCTGTTATCTGTACAGTCAGTGTGAATGGACCCTTATGGTGTGATATAATTCTCCCAGCTGGCACCAGCGCTCGCACTCTCGTCCCCTGAGAGCCCACTATCTGTCCGATTTGATCGGCGACGATGTGATCGTCCAATTTATGAGTCCAGTTTGTTGAGTAGGACATGATTTGAGTAATTTTGTTGAGCTACCGTAAATGAGAACAGGTGCCTCGGGTCATACTCGGGTTTTTTGAGCAGCTTAAATAGAGGTGATGCATTTATTTTGTGATGCATTGTGACACTGTTCCCCAGATTCAAGCTGTACTCAATTCCCGCGTAGTCGTGTGAATACAAAACTGTTTGATTTGAAGGGCTTTAAGCGTGTTATTTGAAAGGAAAAAGCCAGCATCATGCAGACACACTGTGAAGTCACTCGTTCTTTCTTTAGGTGTCATTACATCACCTCGGCCTGGGCTTTCCTGATCCTGGGGGGATTGTATTTCTACTAGACATCTGTCTCTCTTTATATGCTGCCCAGGTGTGTCTCTGGCCTTACCCAAGAGCCACACAGACATTGACATCCACACCTAGGGCAAATGAGGCAAGCCATTGTGGTGTGGAGGAGGGGCAACTGCTGTCCTCCTGCCTCCACTCCTCATCAACTAATATCCAGAGGAGGAGGCTGAACACTCACTGGTACATAGACCGACATTACAGGTCCTCCTCTTAAAGAGGAGTCAGTGGCCATGTTACATGTGGAGAAAGAGAAAAGCGGAGGTTTGGTCATTTGAGCTCTTTTTACAGTTATAGGGCAGGTTTTTTATTTAAATCCAAAGGAAACCGAATCACCTTGTTGTGGAAGGGACTTTGATGAAGGTGACTCAGTGTTTGATTTAGAGCGATTATTCTGTTCTACCGCCTTCATCTAGGAGGTCACTCCACTAATCACTGTAACGATTGGTGGTTTAATCAATTTGAGGCTCGGGGAAATTGTGATGTGCACATTTCACGATTTTCTGATGTTTTTTTTAGATCAAACATCTAGCCGAATAAAGACAATGATCAGATTAAAAACTGAAAACAATGGTACACAGGTACACTGAAAATGTATTATTTACTTCCTTATCCTGTGTTAAACGCTAACTATGAAATGCAAAGCATCGCGTAACGAATCAATCAACCCGTGGAGAATGTGCACTGTGATGGAGAGGAGGATGCTAGAAGATGTGGTTCTCCCACCTACAGGGCGCTGCCTCAGCGGTACGAGAGGTTAAGGAGGGTAGCTAAAAATATATAATGACATCTGCTCAGTTCTGCTCTCTTAGATAACAGCGATAAAATCCAACAACGTGAAGAAGCTTTTGGCTGTGTGAGGTCTGACTCATAGTAACTCTACAAAGCAGTTATTTTATTGGCTGAGTTAGATTTCTTTCTTGTTTTGATGATCCAGCGTGGATCAGATGAAGACCACACACAGCTGTCTTGCACTATGAGTTTGTTTGAGGGCTGTTTGTGACCCTAGGTGTCAGTTAGCTGGTGAGTTATTCATAGCAGGCAGGAGTGACCCAGATCACTGGCCCCCAGCACACTTCCTCTGACACATCCCGGTGTTTACCCCCCGTCTTGTCCTACACGTCATTTTGTCTGCTCTCCCACTATCCCACTAACCCTTATGTTGACTTCTAGAGCTGAGCTGCAATGTCCTAAAGCTCCAGGTGTTATCATCACATTGCTTGTTTTGTCTGGCCAATCATAAACGACAGTCACGATGCTGTTATTTCTGTCAATTCATCCTCCTGCCAACACAACGGTCACACCCACTCTAAGGATGCTGCTAGGCCTCATCATCATAGTGCGTATAATTGCAGTCATTATCGATCACTTCTACAAATAAGAGGCTTTGATATGTTTAAATTATGCATCACCTCAGCTCAAGGAAACAATAGTTTGGTTCATTAAAGACGGATCATTTTACTGAGAGTTAGTAAGTTCAGATACTCTGGCGTACCGTTATTGACCCTGAGCTCGGTCACAGTATTTTACAATCAAAGCTTATTTTCTCCCTCCACACCCCAAACGTCTCTCCCCCCTGCAGGGAGGTGTCGGAGCCCAGTGCAGCGGCAGTGACGGAGGCGGAACCGGACTCGGAGAGCTCCAGTGCCCAGCAGCCGCCCTCCGGGGCCGAGCCAGAGAACAGCGAGGGTCGCCTGGAGGAGGTAAGGTCACTGAGGTTGGGGGTGTCCTTGCTCTGTCTCCTACTAACCTGCATCCTCATTCATATTAAAGCATGTGTGGTCGACGGCACAAGTTCGGAGGGTAACTTAAAACCAACACAACCCCAAGATTTTCAAAACAGCTAATTTCCTCAGCTCCTGTGGGGATTTTCTCCTCTCGATTCTGTCTCTGTACACAGCTTCTGTATCCTTTTGTATATGCTCATCGCATTAATAGATTGAATGCTCATAGGTGAACAAACAGGGGTTGAGTTGGAGTTGGGCCCCGGGGTGAATAGAACTAATCCACTCCATTAATGCAACTAATATTTCATAACTTAGATGATCTCTCACACACTTGGCTTGTCCGTCTGCTACCTGAAGAGGAATGTTAAGTGTTGATGCTGCTGGGACGCAAGTAGTGACGGCAGTAGTGTGTTAAGTTAGGCAATCGCGCTGCAGAAAACGCATGCTTCTCACTGTGTGTGTGTGAGAGAGAGTGTGTGTTTGGGAGGAAGTGACAAAGAAAAACATTAAACTTGAGGGCCCTGACACATCAAGCCGATTATCGAATGCTGTTTAGCATCTGTGGCCCTTGTTTTCATGATTTATCTGCCAATGTTGGCACTTCTCTGCTCTGATCAACATTTCAAACGATTGAGAACTTTGAGTCTGTTAGAAGGAGCTCATTCAGCTTAGTGATGTCACTGCTTCTGGCCCATTTTCACTTTGTCTTCCTGCAGCTTTTTATCAAACATATTCTCCATTTTCCAAACTATAATGGGGACGATTAGAAAGACGGATACGTTATTTGGTGTGTCAGGGTCTCAGCCATCGTTGTATCGGACCAGAGTCTAGCATTTTATTGTATCGCAAGCATTTTCACTTATAGAAATTCATTTTTAGATGCATTATTTACATTTACAACCTAATGATACCACAGAGTATCATTGTTGGAGCTCATTATGCGGCTGCTGTGTCTGTTAGCGACGGCCTTGAGCCTCCACCACTTATTGCTGCTGAAACCAGATACCCACGAACATACATTACATTAGCTCTTCAGTACCTAGTTTAGCTTTAGTGGGGGCGCTGCTATCCAAATCATGTTATTACGAGCATGTGTCTTCTTTTAAGTGTTTGTGGGTTTTCTTCCCCACCTGCGTTTGCATGAGTAATGGACCCTGACAGTGTGTGTAGAGATGCATCAGGGCTCGTTTCTGCTGTTTCTTTCACCCACTTTTCATTCTCTCTGCTCTCTCACTTGCTCCTTCCACACTGTCTCTCTCCCCCTCTTTGTCCCCCTTACTTTCCATCTTTTGCCTCTGTATCCCATCATGAAAGCTTCTCTCTCACTATATATATTTATGGTGTGATTGCTGTTTAAAACCCCATTGATTGCTTTGTTATGAAGGTGCCCATGCCTCTTCCATTGCCCCTAATGGTACCTGCTGCGTACTACTACTACCACCACCACCACCACCAACACCTCCTCCACTCCTCCTACTCCTACAACTCCTGTCCCGCTATGCCCAAGTGCGTCGCTGTCACCTGAATTAGGCCCAGAGTCTGCAACCCCCACGGCACTGAGTAAAGAGCCTGTAGCCCTCCGGTGACGTGCTGAGCCAGCAGGAACCGGAGCTCGCTTTCGTCAGACCGCCACCGAAAACAGCAGCAGTGGCAGCCATGGTAACTGCAGCTGCACACAGTTGCCATGGTAACCCCAGCCTCAGTACTGGACTGTACTGCGCTGTGTTTGGGGATGATGAATGACGGCGTAAAGGCAGGCGAGGGAGCTCTGTATCGCCTGTCCTCCGCCTATCCCCCGACCCCCATCTGCCATTTTGAGGGTACGCTACATCCTCAAAGTGTTGCCCCTCCAACGTCCACATGCTTCTGTCCTCCAAAGCAAAGCTCAGATGAACAAAAACTCTTCAGGGCTCCTGTTTTTGTTCTCACCTCTGGCTCTAATTCCACACTGCCCCCTGCTGGTGGTGTGGAAGAATGACTTTGGACTTCCTGCAGTAACCCTCACAGTGATCAGGACATGAGCGTTTATATACGACCACTGTTTGGGGATTTAAAGTTTGAGAGCGCACTACCAACAAAGCAACTGAAGTAATCGGCTTGGAAGTAATGATTGTGGGGCTTTTTTTATGGCCCGGCCTTTTTAAAAGGCGTGTAAACTCTGTCATCATGCTGTGAACTGTTCCCCTGAACTCTGCACCAGTTCCACCGTAACAGAGACTTTCAAAGGACACGGTGCCAAGGACAAGTAATCCGACACACATTACACACCAAGAATTGATGTGGGTGCAGAGTGACGTTGATCATCCACGCAGAGAGCTGGATAAAATGAATCGTCGCCTCCCTTCCTTTGCAGCCACACCGTCAGTTAGCTCATGATGTTTCATCAGGAAATGGAAAGGTGTCCATACCAGCAAAGATACTCAAGATGATGTCCATCGACCCTCATTCTTCCCTGGATTATAATCTAACAAAGACACATTCTTCTGGATTACTTTTGCCCACTTTTTTTTTTTTTTTATCATGTTGAAGAGGCCTTCTACCTGTGCTCTCAATGTGCAAAATAATCTCAAGAACTGTGAAGCAACACTCGAGATACTCCCAACACCCTCAAAGGCCTTCAGGACCGTAAAATGGAGAATATGGACAATTAAAGATGATAAATACAAGCATCATAAAATGGATTTTTTTTTTTTTTAACTTGGACTCTAACAAAGTATACGTCGACCCCTCCCCGCCCCTGTCAGAATCCATCACAAGGTCAATTTGAAACCCTTGTCTCCCCCAAAAAGACTGAAACTTGACTCTTTTGATCGATCAAGAAATGTCCTCCCCGTTCAAGACAAAAGTCCAATCCAGTGGCTGGTGGCTAATCTGCATACTCTAATCGAGCCCTCACTCCTCTGCCTTCTCTGATTGGATCCTTGTTGCCTAGATACAGTACACACTGTCGTGCGGTCGGGCCATAGTCGAGCCAGTAAGGAATCAGGTGTCAAATGGTACCAGGAAATTACTTGTGATTATGCCTCTATTTAAATTTTATACAAATCTAAAGGATTAACGGGGTAAAAAACCATTAAAAAAAATAAGAGGAATTCATTTTGTTCCTTCTCGTAATTTAAAGCAAGAAATTGTAACTGTCACATGTACTGCAGTTTTTACACCAAGATGAAAGTGTTGGTCGTACATTTGACAAACACAAGCTGTGTCTTGTTAAATATGTTTAAATCTTCAAGGTGAATTCAAACTGCAGTACCCAAAAGTCCTGCTGAGCGATCTTTGAGTCCTGAACACTCTGTCCTCCACCTCTGCTGCACAGAACTCATCATCACTCACAACATTTAGCAACCTCACAGTGGATGAGCTTGATCTCATAATGTTCACTTTTTGCTTCATTGCAAGAGTTTATTGATGTAGTGATTTAGTTAAGTTATTATGGCCTCAATTATTATTGTATTGGTAGGTTGAAAAGACAATATGCACTCTGGACGGATTTAAAATTAGTCACCCAACCTCCTCTAGAGAAGATGTATCCTGTCCATATGGGACGCAAATCTCTTAAAGTGACAGGATCCACTTAAACGCACCGCCGACAGACACTTCGCTAGTCTCCATCTCCCTTCACTCCTCAGCGTCCTCTAGTGGACATTATCTTGTAATAACACCGAGATATGACCCAGTTTGAGTTTTACACAGGCCAACTGAGAGTCTAACACACACACACACACACACACACAGCGTAATGATTTGCCTCAGTGTCTTTGAGCAGAGGTGGAAGACGGACATGTGTCTGGAGTCTCTCTGTATCGATCCAGAACTCTCTCTCTATAATGTGGTACAATTGGAGCCTCCAGGCATCTGTTTAACCCCCTCCCCCCCGCCCCCAAAACCCTCCTCCACTTTTCCTGTTTCACCTCCTCTCTGTTGTTGCCTGTTTGGGTTTTGACTCTCGTTTCTCATCTCGCCCCGCACCCCGTATGTTCTCTCTCTGTCTCTCTTTCCAGAGCACCACTCCGAAGGCCTTCGCTGCTCGCAAGATATCCCTGACCAGTGAGTATATATTCCATTTATGAACTCTGTGAACTTTAATTAGCTACTGCAACCGATGGCAAAACATATCTGGGTTAAAGTATCAAAGCAATTACTTCTGCTTTGATGTGATGAGCCTGCAGGAACGTGTTACTATGGCTCTGTTCAGCAGAGAGCACATCATCCATCGGGGAGTTTCTCTTTTCTCAGTATGAACCGCATCTTTTTGGCTCCTCCACAGGCAGCAAGACGTCTCCAGCCGCCACAGATGGAGGAGCCGGTGAGCCCGACACGGGAACCGCAGCCGGGAGGAAGAGGAGGTGGGGCTCCAGCACAGCAGTCACCACTAAGAAACCATCCATCAGCATCACCACTGACTCACTGAAGGTACTGGCACGGCACGTGGACCAGGTGTCCATGCAGGCCTGGGAAATTAATGAGATGATGAATCTTTACGTATTGGGTAGTTCTGTGAGATAGAGAAATGTAAGTGTTTCAACCAATGATTGATGATCTTACTTTAACTACAGCTTGGTTACATCTCCCTCAAAGGTTTCCTTCCAGCTCTGTGTTAATGTTTTAAAACTCAACTCTGAAAACATCACAAGTGAGCTGGGAGAAAGTTGGTGATTTTGTTAAGACGACCAAACTCTCTCTTAAAATGAATGAGGGAACAAAACCGCTATCTTTTATCAGTTGTCGTTAAAATATTGAAATATTTCTCTCCCTCTCTTGTTCCTGTCTTTCTTTTTTCCTCCACCATCGTCCTTCAGTCTTTGATCCCAGACATCAAAGTGAAACAGGAGGCCGTGGTGGAGCTGCACCCAGAGGAGCTGCAAATGTCCGGGGACGAGGAGAGCCCAGACACCAGCCGGGGCGACCAGGACAAAGGCCTCAAGATCAGACGCACGGTCACACAGGTCAGAAGAGTTGTACTGTCTCATTACTGTCAGAGGAAAACATTATGGCTCCAAATACTGAACAGTCTTTCCACCGTTCTTCTCCAGGTCGTTCCAGGTGACAGCCAGGAAAACGGACAGACGAATGAGGAGGAAGAGGTGGACCAAACGGAGAAAGAGAAGCAACGCAGGACCTCCAGAGACAAAAGGAAGGAGAGTGTTTCTGAGGAAGCTTTGGAAACACAGATATCTGTGAAGCTGGAGGTGGAGGCAAAGAAAGGTGAGGCCTCGCTGTGAAGTTTGTGGTTTTTTTTTAATTGCTGTTGATTGTCGGGTACAAATCTTTTTGTTGGCTTCTCACTTCTGTCACCCCTCTGGCAGTCCTTCATCTTCAGACATTCCTCTTCTCTCCTCTCCTCTCCCTCAGTTACCCCCAGCGACAGTCTGGTGCGTCGCTCCATAAGTCAACAGAAGTCCGGCGTGTCCGTCACCATCGATGACCCCGTCCGTGCAGCCCGGCAGCCCTCGCCGCCTCACGGCAAAGTCTCAAATATCATCCACGTGACCAACCTGGTGGGTTTGTAACTCGAGTCGGAGCCTTAAACTTTGCCCACAAACTAAAATTAGGTTCAGGGGGGCATGATTACACAGACGAATTCCGGCATTTCAAAATCGACCAAAGTTTTTCATGAATGAGGCATATTGTGTGGATGCCAGTGGTAATCACCGTCATTCCCATAATTGGAGTCAGGAACACTTACCCAGGTATTATGGCTGCATTCAAGTAGCACCTTAAGTTTGGGACACACTGCATGACTAAACTGACGAGACTAGACATTACACATTTAATGACTAGCATTTGCAGATTTGAACTTGCGTCATAGAAGCGAGACTTCAAGTAATTCTTGGATCAAAGAGGACCAGATATCTAATGCCACCCAGCCTCAGTGATCTCAGAACAACAGGAACATAGAACGCAAACAAACAAGTAAAGGTTCATAGCGCTGCCGTGTGACTGTAGTTCTCATCACCATTTTGTTTACCAGAAAACAACCCTGATGGATTTAAGATGTAGGAACAGCTTCACGCTCTGTTTGATGTAAACCGACAATAATTCAGTTATTTGTAGAAGTGTCATGTAGTGTTGGTTGGACAAGGGGTGCACCAATCCTCAGGATTCATCCTCTGGGAAAGATGTAAACTAAATTGCATGGAAAGTTGTCAAGACCAGCATCATCATCCCCAGAGCTACACCGTGGGAGGCTGAGCATTTCTCTCTCCCACTGTTTGTACTTGATTCCCACTGATCTTACTCTCAATGACTGCTGGTAGTCTTCATCCTAAAGTGCTGGATCGAGTGTCAGCGAGTACTCGAGTCTATGTACGGATCCAATATCAGGTTATCATTTAATTCATCAGCTGATTTACATTAAACAGGAACAACATCGCTACCCGATTTGTACATCCTGCTCGATATGTACTTCACGTTTGTATATTAGTACTACACACCTGAGGTTGAACACTCCCATGCACCCTGTTTGTTCCCTGATGATGCTGCATTGTGAACAACAGAGGAGAGCTAGTTAACGTTAGCTGTTGGTGTGGGAACATCTCAGATGTTTTGGTACAAACTTCAAAAAAATCTGTCTGTTCTCTTGATACACAACAAGATCTTCTCTGCTCAGCTCTTGTCTTGTTTAGTTTTTGCTTTCTATAAACGGACCCCGTCAACCTTTTACTGAGCCATGCTGCCTGTGTGTCCCGTAGGTGCGACCCTTCACCCTGGGCCAGCTCAAAGAGCTGCTGAACAGGACGGGCAGCGTGGTGGAGGAGGGCTTCTGGATCGACAAGATCAAGTCTCACTGCTATGTCACAGTGAGTATCAGCAAATCAACCGTTTTATATTGTGTGCCATCACCTCTGTGTTCTCATCCAGCTGTTCCTGCAGTCTGTGTGTTGGCTGAGATGTGATTACACTTTAAAAGGACTATTTTCAGCCTGATAACCTTCTTCCTGTCCTCATAGTACGCTACAACAGAGGAGGCGGTCGCCACCAGAGCTGCCCTCCACGGGGTCAAATGGCCTCCGAGCAATCCCAAAGTCCTCAGTGTCGACTTCTGTGAGCAGGATGAGGTAACGCAGTTTCTCTTTTTGTCACTGTTGGTTTATGGACCTTTTTTTGTTTTTAATTTGTCCATTACATTTTATCCACACACTCAAAACTTTACCGTCCTGGCTTTTGTCTCCTTATTTATTTATTTTTTCCTGCAGCTGGACATTCAAAAAGGCATCCTGAAGCCAGTAAAGGTGGAGGAACACGTTCCCCCGCCAAGCGGTCCTCAGCCCCGGCTGCCCCCTCTGATGCCCGAGCGAGACAGAGACCGGGAGCACGACCGGGAGAGAGACCGGGGAGGCGTGACAGGCGTGCGGGACCTGTGGGCGGAGCGACAGAGAGAGATGGAGCGCCGGGAACGAGCCCGCGGCGAGCGGGAATGGGACCGGGATAAGGTCCGGGAATTCGCCAGACCGGGAGAGGAGGAGCAGCAACGATCCCGATCCAGAGACAGAGAGCGGAGGAGGAGAGACCGGGCCAAGAGCAAGGAGAGGAAGACCGATAAGAAGGGTAACGTCTGCAGCTCAGAGTTGAAGCGATACTTCTCAACAATATCTTCCGCTGTTTGAAGAAATTCACTCTTTTTATGTTTTCCACCAGCAGAGAAAGGAGACGAGCCTCCTGCAAAGTTGCTCGACGACTTGTTCCTGAAGACCAAAGCAGCTCCATGTATATACTGGCTCCCCCTCTCTGAGGAGCAGGTCGGTCACACACACGCTTACTTGTTAACACACTTTAGTTTAGAGTACTTCAGAGATCATTTTCATCCAACCAAACTGCTTTGTGTCCACCAGGCGGTGCAGCGGCTTTTGGACCGCACGGAGCGGCAAAAGGAGCGCGAGCGAAGGCGCAAGGAGCAGCAAGAGGAGGAGGAGAAGAAGCGGGAGGAGGAGAGGAAAGAGAGGCTGAAGGGCCGCGAGAAAGAGGGCCGCGAGAAGGACGGCCGCGAGAAGGACGGCAGTGTGACGGCGAGCGTCGGGGCAGCCAGCCGAGGAGCCGACCGGGACCGAGAGAGGGACCGCGGCCGAGAGAGGGAGGGGGACAAGAAGAGGGACGACGGACAACGGCCCAGACGACCCTCGGTGGGCGCCGGGAGCGGACGTCGCTCTCGTAGCCGAAGCAACCCCAGGGATAGACGCCGCTGAGGTCCCGAGTGAGGAAGGAGGAAGGGAGGGAGGAAGGTGGGAGGACGTAGCATTGGGAGGGAGTGTTTTCACTCGGAGATGCATTTCTCTTGCCTCGAGTTCAGGACTACCTGCCGCACCGTGCATAATTTGTCCACTCTTTGACGCCGGCGTTGTCTTCCACACACCCCTCCCAGCTCGTCTGCGTCAGTTTACACAGAAAATGTTGAGTACACATTCTGTTCATAGTACCAGGACCGTCTATCTATCTCCTGTCCTCCACTCTTCTGTTCTCTCTCCGTCTTCCGGAAGCATATGTCAGTCCTTTCCCTCTGCAGAGAGCGGCGGTCCTCCTCGTCTCTCTAGTGCCGGTAAAGAAAAGAAGCGAGAGAAGCCGGTGGTTCTTCTGGCTCGCCTCAGCATTTTGTCCCACTGAGGTTTGGGAGCCCGCCTCTTTATTTTAGTTCTGTGGGTGCACAGTTCCTTCCTCCTCGGAGCCCTGTAATAAAACAAGTCCAAAATAGATCCCTAGCCTTCAGATATTTTCTAGGATCAGTTTTAGCGTTCTCTTCGGCACTGAGTTATTTTTTGTTCCGTACGACTAGATTTGACTTCGTCAAAGAGATGATTTTGTTTCGTTGAAGTTTTATGAATCATGTTTTTTTCAGCCTTGGAGGTTTGTTGTGTGTTACAGCAGGTGATGTTTGTGTGAGTAATAACCTTCATCTCTCTCTCTCTCTCCCACAAAGATGCAACTGGTAGTCTCAACACTGTAACCTAGAAGTGTGTGTGATAGGAAGAGACGTGATGTGGTGACACATGCCCGAGTTTGTCTTTCGTGGATGTTTTTGGAGTCGAGGATATAAAGATTCTTGTAAAAGTGGTTTATTCTGTAATAATTACAGGAAGCTGACCTTCCTGGCACTGAAGTCTCGGTTTGAAAATCCCTCCTCTGACCTCTCAATCATATATATATTTAAGAGGTACAAATACGTTAACCTTCTAATAGAGTAATGGTTACAATTTTAATATTTTCAATTTTATGCTTTTAGTTGGAAACAGATTGCTTTTTTTTCCCCCCTTTCCTGCAAGTGCTGAATGTACTGAGAATTTAAAAAAAAAATGAATAAATTTAAATTGGTTATCAGCTTCTCTGGTTGGATGTTTTTGTGTTATACGAATATATTGGAAAACACTTGAACCATGGACGTGTGCATTTGAAAAGGTTTGTTATACTGAACACAAATGAATATTTATTACAACATACAGAAATTACAGTAAAGTTTTTCCCCAAATTGTACAGATTCATGTAACAACTCTTACAGTAAAGTCAAATTTAAGTGCAAAATGTTTGCTAGCGATAATATATTTACAAAACAGTTTAGCAAAATCCCTTGTTCTTCTACAGCAAACAGTAGCCACATTGGGGTAAAAAAAAAAAAAAAAGCAGTAGTTTCTTTCCCGTTCCCTTAAAACTATGGTACAGTAAATAGTACAAGAAGTACAGCAGGCAGTACATGTGACAACAGGGGACTGAAGCGAATCAGTGGAAATGTTTGAGTTTCAGCAGTTTCATCGTACGACAGCATGTTAAGACCAGCTTTAAATAAAAACAGGAAAACCTCCACAGCTGCTGATCATCAGTGTGTGTTGTGAGGGGGAATGTGTGTGTCGCATGCTCTGCTCATGTGACAGGAGTGGCAGAGGAGATGAGAGTCCAGAGGGAAGCACTGCGAGCCGGGCTTATCAGAGAGCTGCTTACCACACTCCTGGGGGGGGGGGGGGGGGAAGAAAGACGCAGATAAGGACAGGAATGCACACAGAGGAAGTGAGGTCAGGATATAAAGAGGAGCAGAACGAGCTAAAGATTGCTCACCTCGCAGTGGTAGCACTCGAAGTGATAGTCCTTGTTCATGGACACGACCCTGAGGATCTCTTCGCTGCCCTGAGACAAAAGAAACAGAACTTTCAGTCACCTGGAACATTCTGCTCACACACACACTAATGCACTTCAGACTACTCACCTCGGTCGGTAAGATGGGCTGTAAACAAGCGGCGCACTTCGGGGCAAAAGTCCTGCAGAAGGACAGGAGAAAGTTTATCTAGTGGTAGAAACCAGCAGCACCCACACAGTGGAGTAATGAAGCGGGATGAGTAACGGACATTCTTCAGATGTTACACTCACAAAAGCAAAAAAAATCTGACGCATAAATAAAATGATAAATATTACGAGCCACAAAGCAGGACGCCTACTGGTCCGTCCCTGATCAAAACAAAGCGTCAGTGTCTCACTTGTTGTAGTCGGTCACGCAGTAGATGTTGCTGTGGTGGTCCACGGTGAACGGGACCCCGTCCAGAGCCTTGGAGCAGACCACGCAGCGGAAACAGCCCGGATGGTACGAGTTCCCCAGAGCCTGCAGGATCTGAGAGGGAACAACAAGACACCAAGCATTTAAGTCGTTAGAAAGACATTATCTCGTGGTGTACTTTTACCTCAGATAAGACTGTATGTAGGTATGTTTAGCATCTTTTATCTTGACAAATTGTGAAATCCATTTGCAACCAAACTAATTCGATTTAACATTTTCATCCGCCAAATCAATCATACCGTCTTACCAACATCTTCTACTTTCAGGTAGTAAGCAGACCAGAAAATATGAGAATAAACTATTATTATTTCCGATGGTCGTAGAAAACGTGAACTTGGTTAAGCCGTTCACATCATGCGGTTCTCACACTCACTGCTCGCTTTCTATTTATGTTGTATGTCTTGTGTGGTACAAATATGGTAAAACGTTTGAGGCCAATCACTACAGAGCCATATTTCTTAGTTTATAAACAAAACAAAAAAAGAAGGCAAACATTCCACTGAAAATCTGCCGTGGGAACCCGAAGAGGAGCCAATAAAAAGGCGTCACTGAATGTCTCAATCCTCTGGAGGGTTCTTAAGAGACATTCTGGGAAACAGGACACATACAACTAAAAACAAATTCACAGGGCAGGTTAAAGTAAATCATCCTTAAATCTAGCCTAAGTCTCAAGTATTGAGAGGTCTTTGTGCACGTCTTCACGTAGCATGTTCTCACGCACACATACACACACCTGTTCGAGGATGAGGTGGCCACACACACTACACTTCTCAGCGGCAGCCTGGAATCCTGAAAACTGTAATTACAACAAAAGAGATTACCATTAGAAGAAAATCAATCCTCCGTCTCCGAGTGCGAGACGGATGACAAAACACGCCCTGACCCTGGTCTCTCACCATGTAATCCTCTTTACAGTACACAGAGCCGTTGACATTGTAGAAGTCCTTGTTTCTCAGAGTGCGTCCTGCAGAGAGGAG